TCTAGTACATCTATCAAAAAAGGAAATCCAGGTAATTATAGATCACTTTTTTCCTTAGTGAATCCCTGTTGACTCTTAGCCATCACATCCTTTTCCTAAAATGTTTACAACACGTTTTAAATTTGGTATACTGTAATAAATTGCAATAAATTATCACCGGGGCTTCATGTCAAAATTATCAGGGCAGGAGTTTGGGCTAGTGGTTAAGGGGCTGATTAAGATAACCCATGTCCCACATGGGAAAACACCGGTTTGATCCCTGGCTCCAGCTTCCTGTTAATGTAGGCCTTAGGAAGCAGTGTGATTGAGTTCCTGGCTATCAGCTTTGCCTCCTCAGCCATTGCTGTCGTTTGGGGAATGAACCAATGGATAGGGAGCTTCTCTCAAAATAAATAAGCACGGGTTGGTGTTGTGGGATAGTGTGTTAAAACAGCAGCCACCAGTTCAAGTAGCTGTTCCACTTCCAATCCAGCTCCCTGCTAATGTGCCTGGGAAAGCAGTGAAAGATGGTCCAAGTGCTTGGGCCTTGCAACCATGTGGGAGACCCAGAAGAAGCTCCTGTCTTCAGCCTGGCCCAGCCCCATCCATTGCAGCCATTTGGGGAGTCAATCAGTGGATAGAAGCTCTCTCTTTCTGTCTCTAACTCTGCCTTTCAAATAAACCTTAAAAAATAAAAATCGTCTGACCATGCATTTCTCAGAACATATCCCTGTCACACACACATAAAATTAGCTTCCTCTACAGTATGAATTATGAAAATCCATCAACAACATAATTGCTTTGACTTGTTTTTAATTCCAATATTCAATTTTGATTCAAATACTACTTAAGGGAAAATGCAAATTCTGTGTATTTAGTGAAATCGGTGTCAGTGGAAAAAAACTGGCAATCTCCAGTGCAGACTGGTTTATTCCATATAAATGTAAGGAAGAACTTTCTAGTAGGTAGAGCTAACTACCAGTGCAGTGGGCTGCCTTGCTAATCAGGAAGCTCTTCAGGCCATCTACCCCAGGAGGAAGCACAAAGTCCTGATTTGGGAGGCAACATTGATTTCATTGATTTATGAAGTGCCTCTCTAACTGTAGAGAGTACCTATATATGTTATGTTTAAATTTCCAATCCGTAGCGGACCAATACTTCTACATAATACAAAAAGATCACATATTTAGATACCCTGGCAATGTCAAACTGTTTTAAATATTTCTAAATGTTTACTTTTTAAAAATTATTTCAGAAGCAGAGACTGGGGGGAAGGGGGGGGCGGAAAGTGAGGAGAGAGAGAGAAACTCTTAATCTGCTATTTCACTTTGCAAATCCCCACAACAGCAAGGAACTAGGGGCTTAGCCAGCCCAAAGCCAAGAGCCAGAAACTCAATCCAGATTTCCCATGTAGATGGCAGGGACCCAAATTACTTAAGCCATCACCACTACCTCTCAGGGTCTGCATTAATAGGAAGCTAGAATCTGGAGCCAGAGCTCAGAATCAAAACCCAGGTATTTTGATATGGGAAATGGGCCTCTTAACTGGTATACTAAATTACACCCCTAAATATTTACTTTTGTTTTTAATTTGTTGCACACAGGTAACAAAATGTGATCTGGTACAACCAGCAAACTATACTCTGAGAAGTGCTAGAATAGCTTATAAGAAATCTCTAAGGTTCTATGGTTTTTCAAATTTACCTAGTCTTGTCTTCCCACCTTCTACACTCATTGGACATTAACACCAAACTGCAGATTTCAACAACTAATTTCTTTTTTCAGTAATTTAGAAAAAGCAATAATCTAAAAGATATGAGCCTGAAAGCATTGGGTTGAGGTTTGTTTCTTCTTTTTTAAAACTGCATTAATCTTTTACTTTACTAAAATGAAATAGTACAATTCACTTATAAAAACTTTTCTGAATGTTCATTTAAAACTAGTTAGAGGCTGGCATTGTTGCACAGTGAATTAAGCCACTGCCTGCAATACTGGCATCTCATAAGAACACTAGTTCAAGTCCTGACTGCTCTACTTCTGATCCAGTTCTCTGTTAATGCACCTGGAAAAAGCAGAGGAAGATGGCCCAAGTGCTTAGTTCTAGGTTCCTGGCTGGCCTGGCCCAGCCCCAACAACGGGGGGAGTGAACCAGTGAATGGAAGATATCTCTCTCTTCCCCTGTCTCTTCAACTAACTCTGCCTTTCAAATAAATAAAAATTTTTTAAGAAACTAGTTACAAAAACTCTATTTTCAGCCATTTCCCACACCTAATTTTCTGGGTGTCAGTGTCTTTGTGAAGGTTGATAATAAAATGTGTAAAAAATTAGAGCTAATCACACATTTGAAATTCCAAATTTGTTCTACCAGCTGGTAGCAAAACCAACAAAGTTGCTTGGGGTGGGGGTGACACACTGATGAATTTCACAAGCATCAGGTGGAGGATTTAAGAATTTTCAAGTACCTTAATGCATTCCAAGAACCTCAAAGCAAATACAGTGAAGAATTATAAAAAGGGGAGGCAAAATGAAGACTTGCCATTCTATTTCCCCAAATATGTTTGGTTCTTTCTCCAAGGGCACTAAGATATTTTTGTTTAAATCTATTATCTTACCCTCGTTAAAAACAAAACAACTTCTTTTTTTTTGGACAGGCAGAGTGGACAGAGAGAAAGGTCTTCCTTTGCCGTTGGTTCACCCTCCAATGGCTGCCGCGGCTGGCGCACTGTGGCCGGCGCACCGCGCTGATCCGAAGGCAGGAGCCAGGTGCTTCTCCTGGTCTCCCATGGGGTGCTGGGCCCAAGCACTTGGGCCATCCTCCACTGTCTTCCCGGGCCATAGCAGAGAGCTGGCCTGAAAGAGGGGTAACTGGGACAGAATCCGGTGCCCCGACAGGGACTAGAACCGGTGTGCCGGCGCCGCAGGCGGAGGATTAGCCTAGTGAGCCGGGGCGCCGACCACTTTCCTTTTCAAAAGATAACTTTCAGATTTATGGGTTATCATCTCCCAATTCCATCATGATCATGTTATCTCCCCTGCCAGGTAAGTATCCAATTCCATCATACACAGTAGTTTCACTATTTCTTGATTCTCTTTACATTCGATAGAGCAGATGAGAATGGGTGAGTTTTAGGAAGTCCATGAACTCTGAAATTTCAAATGTTTTCAATATTGGAAGAATGACCAGTTATATGGAGAAAAGCATCCGCAGTATCAATACATTTTTAGAGGTTAAAATAACCTAGAGATTTTAAAAACATTTTTCTCAAGTCAAAACTGATATTAATACAAACAGGATACAAGATTCTCCACTAACAGAATAGGTATAAAATGTTATTATATTAAATCATGTGTATACAAATGACCTTAGAAATAAATTTGTTAAATTTTTCCTTCTGTCTTTGAGAGCAAGAAAGAGAGGTAGGACTCCCATCTACTTGTTCACATCACCCCAAATACTTGCAATGGATGGGACTGGTCCAAGCCAAAGCCAGTAACTCAATCCAAGGCTCCCATGTGGGTAGCAGAGACCCAATAACATTAGCTGTATCCCAGAGTGTGCATTAGTAGGAATGTTGTAACCAAGGGTAGAGCAGGGACTCAAAGCCACACATTCCATTCTAGAATGTAGGCATCCCAACCATTAGCCAAATGCCTGCACTCTCATTTTATAGATGTCAAAACAGACATTTGGAGAAGTTAGAGAATCAATGGCCACAATACTAGCGAGCAGGCAGAATCCAGGGGGAAAAAAAAAAAGAAAGCTGGTCTCCTATTCCCTCCCATGCAGTCAGATGGAAGGATATTAACAAGCATACTACAATGAATACTCCCATCTTGAAAAATGCAGAAATTCTTCAAACACTACTGGTTCCTAAGATAGACAAACATTTTCTATTTTACAAAAGGTATCTAAAAATACAATTCAGATCCTGCATCCTTGCAACAGCACAATCAACAACCTGTCAATCATCTGAAAGACATGAGTGCTTAACTCTCCTGCAATCAGTCAGACGTGGGTATCACTTGACCGGGGGACAAAGGCTCTTCAGGAGACCGAAGGCTTCCAGGAGGCACTTAAACACATTTCTTTTTTAAGCGCAATTACTCTGACACCATATGATGAAAAGTAAATTAGTTGAATGGATCTTCCAGTAATTGTTGAAGCTGTTTATAGAAATTTTAAGCAAAACCTCTTTGCAAAGTTTATTCTCTTGTTTATTCACACTGAAGAACAGTAAGTGCAAGAACCACCAGAGATGATGTTCAGGGAAAGATTTTATTGTATATAATTAAGTGAGAAAGCTGAAAAAGAATGTCTTATTTTGTTGTCAGACTGGATAGGAATCCAAAATTTAAGTTTTTCCAAAATAATTAAAAAACAAAGTCTGTAAAAATTAGAATCCCAGAAACCCGTCACTCTTCTCCCCCCTTTGACTTCTGAAATACAGTGCAACTCTCTACCATCTGTTATTTTAAAGCTGAAACAGTAATGAACATATGGGCTTTCTCTCTCAAGCAGCTGTAGTGTAGTTAAAGTTATAATAATTGTCTTTCTGTAAGATAAATTTACATTAAAAACCTGGCCAGTTAAAAACAAATGGCTCAGCCTCAGAGCCTTCCAGAATAAAATTAAGAAATTCTGAATCATCTACGACATTATGTTCAGAGATTTAGAGGAAATCCTCCAAATTTTGTGTTGCTATGTTTTAGGTTAAATAACTACAAGATGCCCAAGTCAGTTTATCCAGCCACAGTACACAACTCATGTTTTCTTCCTTGATCAATATGGTAAGAGTTCAAGTACTCATAAATAAAAACCAGTAACTACGATCTTGAAAACTGATGGTATAAATCTACTACTCCTACGGGCAACTGAATGACCATTTATCAGCAAAATTCCAGTATATATGGCAGATACTTCCATCTCAATTATCTGTCTTTTATAACAGGTAGAAGTAAACAGGAAGGAATTCACAGCATATTCTGATCCAAATTTTATAAGAAATAGAATTTCTACCTACCTTTATCTGGGTGATTCAAAATCATGATTCTCCTGTGAGCTGTTCTAATCTTGGCCTTACCAGCAGATGGGCTGTAAAAAGAAATTAAACTGCTTGTAATAAATAGTGCCAAATGCAGATTATAAATTAACAGTTTACATAGGTTTCAAGAAATTAAAAACTAATGAGAATTTCACCATCTTGTGGACAACTATGAAATTACAACTTTTAACTTCATTTCACTAACCACCAAAACAAATCATTGATTCAATGCTACATGTATTTTGCTTCAATTCTTTTTAAATTCCGTCCTCATTTTGAAACAATTTAAAGAAACAACACAAGGCCAGTGTCGTGGCTCACTAGGCTAGTCCTCCACCTGTGGCGCCAGCACTCAGGGTTCTTGTTCCGGTTGGGGCGCCGGATTCTGTCCCGGTTGCCCCTCTTCCAGGCCAGGTCTCTGCTGTGGCCCGGGGAAGGCAGTGGAGGATGGCCCAAGTGCTTGGGCCCTGCACCCACACGGGAGTCCAGGAGGAAGCACCTGGCTCCTGGCTTCAGATCGGCACAGTGCGCCGGCCATAGCAGCCATTTGGGGGGTGAGCCAACAGAAAAAGGAAGACCTTTCTGTGTCTCTCTCTCACTGTCTAACTGTGCCTGTCAAAACAAAACAAAAACAACGTAGGTTAATGGGGTCACTATCTGCAGATTAGAGTACAAATTATTTTGAGGGAAAGCAGTATATATCATATAGGAAACTGGTATCTGGATTCTAGAACTAAACTGCTAGGTTTTAAAAGAAGCATTGTCATTTTGCATTGAGTAACCTTGCTCAAAGTTTTAGACATATTTGTGAGGCACAGAAGCAGAAACAGAGAGCTCTCACCTGCTGGTCCTCTACCCAATTGCCCCCAACAGCTAGAGCTGGGATAGGGCCACAATCCAAGTCACCCAACATGGGTGGCAAGAACCCAATTGTCACCACTGCTACCTTCGAGGGTCTGCATAAGCAAGAAGCTGGAGTCAGGAGTCAGATCCGGGCACTGCACCCAGGTACTTCAATGTAGAATGTGGGTGCCTTAGCCACTATGCTAAAATTCCACTCCATCACATTTTTAACTCTATGTGATTCAGTCTCATCATTATAAAAAGCACAACAGCGTATTAGTTGTGGACTGTAAGAATTAAGGAGTTGATGCATGTAAAGTGTTAGAACAGCAAATGCTCCATGGACAATGTAAGCTAATATTCATGAAACATGTATTATAACTTAAATTAATCTAATACCTCTTAAACAATTCAGAAGCATTATAATGAGTATTGATTAAATCAAAAGAAACTCCCAGGTCTGCAGAAGTTGCTTTGCTCTTCAAAATGGACCTAGAATGCTACCCATTAAGTTCTTCAATCTGTTTTGAACATGCTACCAGTTGGCAATCCTTGATTCTGCTAAGTGTTGCAGTTTCTTACCAGTTACTTGTTACCTCTAAGCTTTGTGGCTAAATAACAGATCACTAAGCATGTTAAAATGAACTATTAATTACCTTATAAGCACATAAAATATTCTTTTATTTACAAAATGAGTAAGTCTTCTCATATAAGGACTTAAAAGTATTCATTTTGGCTGTCTGGTCTTTTACGGAACCATTTAAACTCATTTTTTGGCTTATAGTTACCTTGCAGACAATCAGACTTGTATGTCTGATTATAGACGACTGCTGGATATCGAGAAAATAACCATTAAATACTGTACCAGGCCTATGAACACAATATTGTTCACCTGCTTATTAAGAAATGAGAAACACATTACTTTGAAAGACTCTAGTATGATTTAGTTTTCTGTGGCTCACCTACATTTATCATTCCTTTTTCAAGTGCTCTATATTGCAACTTTCCTTTATTAGTTACATTTTTGGTATGTATTTGACATGTCTTCCTAGGTAGATTCTAAATTACTTAACAGCAGGAGTTATGCTTTATATTTTAATAGAATATCTAGGATTATATATGCAACAGGTGCTCAATATACCACGCTCTAAAAGAAAATAACTGTACAAGTTAAACTCCTTAGAAGAACCATCTATACATTAGTAAGTACTACCATATAAAGGACTAACATTACTGAAACAAAAGTTTAATTTAAAAAAAAAAATGAAGCTTTAAAAACCTGATTTTAGGGACAGGCATTTAGCGCAATAGTTAAGATGCTACTTGGGATACTCAGGTATCCTGGACCAGAGTGCTTGGTTTGAGTACTGGCTCCATTTCTAATTCTAGCTTCCTGCCAACATGCATCCTGTGAAGCAACAAAGAGGTAATACTTCTAGTATTGGGGTTCCTTCCACCCATATGGGAGACCCAGACTGAGTCCCTGGCTCCTGGTTTCAACCTGGCCCATCCTTGGCTGCTGTGGGCATTTGGAGGTGAACCAGCAGATAGAACATTTCTTCCTCTCTGCCTTTCAAATAAAATTAAAATGAGTAATTAAAAACCTTATTTTATAAAGGTCACTGAATGGGGTCCACTCATGACAATGTGAATTCAGAAAGAAAGCAAATTTCCACTGTACATTCTTTTAAAGGATAGATGGTAATTCGCATTTTATTCTGGATATTACATCTTAATTGAGCACATATAATCTGAAAGTGATTTCAGCCAAAATTATCCTTGAAGATCAATTACATTTATATATATAAATTCTAAATATACATATATATATAGTTTTTTATATATATATGTGTATATATATATATATATATATAAAACAAACAGCACTCATGGTTTTGTACATCAAACTCCATCATAGACACTGAGGTCTGCCAACCACTGAACTAGATTAAAGTAAAACACATCAGGAAGGAAAGCCCAAGTATAGGAATTCAAACATTCTGTTTTAAGATAAAAATAATCAAATTCCTAGTGGTGAGCTTTGGGGATGAGAAGTATTCCCATTGCCTACAGGTTTTATTCCTTTTTTGCTCTTCCTATGTTAAGTCTCTAGGACCTTAATACATTTTAATACATTTGTTATTGTGAAGCTAGAAGAACCCTAGAATATAGTAGCAGTATACTTCCAATATATAATTTCAGCATGAAATTCAAAATCCATCTTTAAACATCAAGTTACCTAGATCAGGGAATTCAAATGTTGTCCCCTGGAATGCAGTTGGCACGCAGTGGGGAATGGGGTATATGGAACTGAATAATGTCCCCTAACCTTGTGACATATGAGCAGTTTGATGTTACCTTTTTTATTATTGGGTTTTTGAAAACCACGGAGTTAAAATGCTCCAGAGGCATTTTTTAGAAAGCCTGAAAATCACAAATGTGTATCATTTCAGATAATACCGGGTACAGTTTTCTGTGGGGAGCAACTCGGACTATACTGTTACTGGAATTAAGACTTATTCTATGCATCTGCTCTCCCACAATATGGCGCTGGGAGAGAAGAAAACAGCTTCTACACAGCTGCCTCCAGTTCAGCCAATAAACTGTAGGACTTGCTCCTGATTGGAGGAGAGCAGCGTACTCGGCGTGTGGGCAGCCGAGTTGGGATTGGCAGAGGAGGACTATAAAGGAGGAGAGAGACGGCATGCACCAGGAACATCTAAGGGGAACATCTATCTGAAGGAACACCTGTGCAGCCCCCGAGAGAGCCGGCCGGCGGTGTGCCGCTCCCCTGCGGAAGTGGGGAAAGTGGCCAGGGGGAACCGCCCTTCCACGGAGGTGGAGGGACAGTAGCCAACCCGGGAAGAACCAGCAGCAAACCCGGGGAGGGCCGAGCAGACGAAAGAACAGCGCAGGGTCCTGTGTCGTTCCTCCACGAAGATGGGGAGCGACATTTTCCAGGGCATCTCAGGAAAATATTTCACTTTTTTTTGTTACAGACATGAGTTACAGTAGAGAAAACTATTTTTCAAGGAAAAACAAAGATTCAAAATGTATATTAGTAAACAACCACCATTACATGCAATATAAAATATGTGGAATCAACTAGTAGCACACAGAATTTTTTAATGAAGTAGCAGCAGGACCATTTTGCCTTTATCTACTTGTCATATACAGAGTCAATGGTCACAGAAAGTGGAACCAAAGCAATGTATCCGAATCTAGAAGTGTCTTGTTATAATCACAACTGCCTGCTGAAAGACAAGGCAGATAAGCTTTACTTTTCCCATCTAAAATTTAGGGACAAGCATTTAGCTACTGTTTTCAAGACAGAGCTAGAAGAGAAGAGCCAACATTAATTCAGAACCTGTTACTTGCTAGGCATTTCTCCAAAAAGACATCACTGTATCATTCTTATCCTATCCTAATAAGAAACTATTATTAATTCCAATTCCAAAATGAAGACACTGAAATACAGAAAAGCTAAAAATAACTTGGCAAAGATGATATGACACAGTGCCTAAGTTGCAGAATGAGGATAAAGATCTATTTGCTTCACTGATATTTCTTGAGTAGTGACATAGTGCCATGTTTTGTCTTAAGAATCACACATACATTCACATCCTTTAATCTTCATAACAGCTTTATGCAATTAAACCAACATTATTTCTATTTTACAGATGATAAAACTGAGTCACAAAATCTATAGGTGGTAAAATTGGTATTCATAGCCAGAAACACCTGATAGGGGAGAGTCTGGGCTCTTACCACTGAGTTTTCCTTGTGAATTTTACATAGCTTTCAGTTTAATAGGATAGAAAATTATAATCGTGAATCTTAAGAGAACTCAAAATTCAATCAAGTCCTGTGCTAACGACAAAAGTGCCTTGGATGGTATTGATATCCTCAAGGACCTTGATTTGTTAAGATTTTTATATTTTACTTATTTGAAAGGCAGAGTTAGAGAAAGAGAAAGACACAGAGATCTTCACTCACTGATTCACTCCCCAAATGTCCGCAACAGCCAGAACTGGGCAGATCCAGAGCCAGAATCCAGGAGCAGCTTCTAGGTCTCCCTCATGGGTGCAGCAGCCCAAAGTCTTGGGCCGCTGTCTGCAGCTTTTCCAGGTGCATTAGCACCTGGATCAGAAGCAGAGCAGCCAAGACTCGAATTAGTGCCCATATGGGATACTGGTGCTACAGGTGGTGGCTTTACCCATTATGCCACAGTGCCAGTCCCTGATGTTAGCTTTTACAACGTATTTCATACTCAAATTTCAAGACTATGAATGAGATATTATAAAGAGGCCAATACTTCAAGAAAAATAATGCCATTTTGCTAACATCAAACAAGGAATAGTAAGAAATACCGCTAACTTCCTGATCTGTTTCCCTTTATCTCCTATTTTCTGTTCTCTGAAAAGGGAAGGTATCATCACTTCCAGATTTAAATAAAGCACCAAGCAAAATTAAGTCTCTCCTCTTTTTCTCTTGCTAGGACATAAAAAATAAAGCGAAGTTTTGCTTTAGAAAGTATGCTGATATATAAGACATTAAAATTTTTGTCTGAGTTGAGTGTTTAGCCTAGTGGTTGAAACACCAATGTCTTACATCTGTGTACCTGGGTTGGATTCCCACCTCTGGCTCCAGACTCGAGCTTTCTGTTAAAACAAGACCCTGGAATGCAGCAGTGATGGCTCAAGTAACCGGGCTCCTGCAATGCATGTGGGAGACCTGGACTGAGTCACTGGCTCTTGGCTTTAGCTACAGTCCAGTCCTGCTCATTATTAGCATTTGGGGAATGCCCCAGTGGATGGGGAGAGTACTCTCGCATGTGCTCTATCTGCGTGCGTGTGTGCCTGCCTCTCAAAAATTCAAAAACATTTTCTCACCAATATAGGACCCTATTATTCACTCTGCTTAATTATGTTGATAGGAAAGATTTGTTGTGGGTAGCGCATTGTCAATGCCCACAAAAATATGAGAGTGGGCCCTACAGGAATACAGTTGAATTAAACATGAAATGGTAGTATTAAACCTTAAGTGATATCCCACAGCAATTATACTATCATTAATTTTCTCCTATATTATCCAGAGTTATACAATAAATGGATACCAGGGTGAACAGGCCAGTTGTCAAATCATATAAGCAGAAAAGAACCATGAAACAAGTCTTGCATTATAAATTAAAATGATAGTTATCAAACTTTAAAACTGAATCCAGAGAGAATCCAATGTCCCAACAGAGGATGTTTTTACCGAATTATATTTTCAGAATTGTAATAGTTTTTTTGTTAAAGAATCAAGACACATTAGAACTTTTCTTCCCCTCCCTTCCTAAGGCAGTACCCAAGGAGAGTGGGTACTCCCTTAGATTTGAGGTTTTGAAAAGTAAACATCTGATATATTCTCTTGTCCTCCTCCTTGTAAATTTAAGGAATGATAGCCTTATTGCAATATTTTTCCTTTTTTATGATAAACTTGGCCAAAGAACAAAATATTGGTTGTCCAGCATACCTACCTTACACCTAAAATAAGACTAGCTTCTCGCCTACTCATTTTCTGTTCAAATCCTCCTTTATAGTAGGATGAAAAACTCTGTATAGGAAAAGAAGAACAAGAGATAATTAGTTCCACGTATGAGACGGCATAAGCTCAACTGCATCACACAGCTGCAGTAAGAGCACTGCATTTTACTAGAAGTCAACTTGAGATTACAGGAGGGGAAAGTATCAGTGCTCCTTTTTTCAAGAAACTTTGACCAAGATGAACACTTAAATAGTAATTTTTAAATTTCAAAACACCAGTATTTCTACACCGAGATATAACTGAAGGGAACAACACACTGTTAGAAGACAAGCGTCTGAACTTGTTCTAAGGTCCGCCATACATTCCTTACTGGGTTACTTTGACCAAGTCATTTAACACTGACCTGGCAGACATCTTTTTGTCTTCTAGAGTGGCTGGTGAAGAAGGGGAGGAATTGACAAAGTAGAGTACATCAGGATAGCAAACAGGTAAGCCGAGAGAAGCTGGGAATCTTGATTATGAGGTCACAAGTTTAGAAGGGTATGAACAAGGTAGGGAGAGGAGATTTGAGAGGTAACAGGGTACAGATTGTGAAGGGTCTTGTAAGCAATGGAAAGAATTGAGGATCTTATTTTAAATAAAAGGAAAAGCCAGAGTACTGGAATAATAAGATCTGACTTTGTTTTGCAAGGATTACTCTAACTACTAACAATAATATAGGCAAGAGAGGTGGTGAAGAGTGGCCATATTGTGTATGTATTTTGAAAGCAGAGCTAACATGTGCTTGATTAACCACACATGGGATAAAAGAAAAAGGGAGAGATTAAGACTGATGTCAAAGAACACTGCTATGCGCTACTCAGACAATCCCCTTCACTAGCTTACTCCTCAAAGCTGGAGAGCTGCTGGTCAACAGCTCTCAGCTCTCATACTAGGGTAACTGGTTTCCCTGAAAAAAGTCAACCTCATATCCTTATCTTGAGCAGTCTTTATCAAATGACTAGGCATGGAGGTAGAGACACTGAAGTTCTTGAAGATTCAGTCCTTGGAATTACATATACTGACTTCTGAAGTGATGTCATTGAGTCTCATGCCTCCTCTTGCCCTAACTGAGACAACCACAATAAGCTGTCTCCACTTCGGAGGTCCTAGAGTACTGGTCTTTAAGTCTGCACTACAGCCTACCTTCCTTCCTTCTCTTCCTGATTCTAAGAATGCTCCCTCTCAAGCTTACGGCAGGTTAACCTGCATCTCAGTCTGCTTTTCAGAGAACTAAACTACACGGAAGATTTCACTGTTGCTGGCCTAAACTGCCAGACTGGAACTTAATGACTTATGGGAGGAGCAGCTGTTTGTTGTGGGTGATAGATACGAGAATGGTTTTGAATTTTTTAAGCTTTAAGTGTCTATTAAATATCTAAATGGAAGGTAAGTTTGACTTAGAGATAACATTGGCATCATCAGTGTACAGATGGCATTTGAAGGCACAAGACTGAATGAGATGGCCTAGGATAAGAAGTCCAAGGATTGAGCCCTACCTAAGATCTTATCATTTAGTGACACAGGAGTGGAGGGCAATCAGGAGAGGAGGCTGAGAGGTTCTGCAGTGAGGTAGGAGAAAAAGAAGCCAAAATAAGGAGGTGAAAGATGGTTTCAAACTCTTCTGACAGATAAAAATATGAGTTCAAATGGCTGGGTTTAGCAAAGAGGTCAAGGAAGTTGACAAGAGCTAAAGGGGATGAGAGTAAGAGTCTCATTAGAGTGAGTTTAAGACAGAATTCAAGGAGAGAAATGGAGGTAACAAGTAAAGACTATTTTCCAGAGCTCTAACTAGAGAAACAGGAAGTATGAACTGTTTATAGCAGGAAAATTATGGATATATGATTGCACACATACATGTTGCTAAAACAAGCAAGAAGAACAAGTTAAGGACAGTGTTCCCGAGGTATCCAAGCGAGATTAGTTCCAGGAAACATTTTCCCTTCCCTAACCTCAGGAATACCAAAACACAAAAATGCTTAAAAGTCTCTTACATAAAGTGGTGTAGTACTTGCACAGAACCTACACACATCTTCTTGCACACTTCAACTCACCTCTACCTTACTTATTATACCCAATACAATGTAAATAGCTTTATTGTAATGCAAGGAGAATGCAGAAGAGCCTGCACATATTCAGTATAGATACAATATTTTTTCTCAAATATTTTAATCTGCATTTGACTGAATACAGATGAAGAACCCAAAGATCCATAAAGTCGACTATATGTTTGCATAAAATAAAAATTAAAAGTATACATATCAAAATGTTATTTTAGGGGCCTGTGCTAATGCGTAGCGGGTAAAGCCGCTGCCTGCAGTAGTGGCATCCTATAAGGGCACCGATTTGAGTACCGGTTACACTTTGGAACATTCCTCAACACAATCAAGGGAATATAGGACAAACCCATGGCCAGCATCCTATTGCATGAGGAAAAGTTGGAAGCATTCCCAGTGGGATCCAGAATCAGATAAGATGCCCATTTTCACCACTGCTATTCAACACAGTCCTGGAAGTTTTAGCCAGAACCGTTAGACAAGAAAAAGAAATCAAAAGGATACATATTGGGAAGGAGGAAGTCCAAATCTCCCTAATTGCAGATGACATGATTCTATATATAGCAGATCCAAAAGACTCCACCAAGATACTATGGGAACTCAGAGAAGTGTTTGCTAAAGCAGCAGGATATAAAATCAATACACAAAACTCAACAGTGTTTTATATATACAGACAATGCCATGGCTGAGAAAGAACTTTTAAGATCAATCCCATTCACAATAGCTACCAAAAAAAAAAAAAATCAAATACCTTGGAATAAATTTAACGAATCATGTCAAATATCTCTAAGATGAAAATTTTAAAACATTAAAGAAGTAGAAGTTACAAAAAAATGGAAAAGTCTTCCATGCTCATGAATTGAAAGAATCAATATCAAAATATACATACTTCTGAAAGCAATTTAAAAATTCAATGTGATACACATCAAAATACCAACAACATTCTACTCGGATCTAGAAAAAAATGATGCTGAAATTCATATGGAAACACAGGTAACCTCAAATAGCTAAAGCAATCTTACACAACAACTAAAAAGCTGGAGGCATCACAATACTAGATTTCAAGGCATACTACAGGGTGGTTGTATCAAAACAACCTGGTACGGTTACAAAAACAGAAGGATAAAACAATGGAACACAACAGAAACCCCAGAAATCAATCAAGCATCTACAACCAACTTATATTTGACAAAGGAGCTAAAACCAATCCTAGGAACAAGGACAGTCTTCAAAGAATGGTGCTGGGAAAACTGGATTTCCACACACAGAAGTATGAAACTAGACCTACCTTATATAAAAATCTACTCAAAATGGAATAGAAACATAAATCTATGACCCAATACCATCAGATTATTAGAGAACACTGGGGAAACCCTGCAAGACATTGGCACAAAGAATTCTTGGAAAAGACCCCAGAGGCACAAACAATCAAGGCCAAAATTAACAAATGGGGTTATATCAAATTGATAAGTTTCTGCACTGCAAAAGAAACACTCAACAAAGTAAAGAAGCAACTGACAGAATGGGAGAATTTATTTGCAAACTATGCAACTGATAATAAATTAATAACCATAATATATAAAGAGATCAAGAAATTCCACAACAACAAAACAAACAACCCAGTTAAGAAATGGGCAAAGGACTTGGACATTTTTCAAAAGAGGCCCAGGAGTGTAGTGGAGGATGGTCCAGGTCCTTGGGCCCTGCACCTGCATGGGAGACTAGGAAGAAGCACCTGGCTCCTGGCTTCAGATCGGCGCAGCACGACCGCTGCAACACACCAGCCGTGGTGGCCACTTGGAGGGTGAACCAACAGAAAAAGGAAGACCTTTCTCTCTGTCTCTCTGTCTAACTCTGCCTGTCAAAAAAAAAAAAGGAAATCCAAATGGCTAACAGACACTTAAAAACATGCTCAGGATTCCTAGCCATCAGGGAAATGCAAATCAAAACCACAGTGAGGTTTCACCTCACCCAGTGAGAATGATTTCATTCAGAAATCAAAAATGCTGGAGAAGATGTGGGGGAAAAAGGTATACTAATCCACTGTTGGTCCGAATGTAAACTGGTAAGGCCACTATGGAAGACAGTATGGAGATACCACAGAAATCTGAATATGGACATACCATATGATCCCGCCATCCCACTCCTGGGAATTTACCCAAGAGAAACTAAATCAGCATATGAAAGAGTTATCTACACCCCTATGTTTATTGCAGCTCAATTCAAAATAGCTAAAACAATTAAATAACTTAAATACATGTCAACCAAAGACTGGATAAAGAAATTATGGGATATGTACACCATGGAATACTACACAGTGGTTTAAAAAAAAAACTGAAATATGGTCATTTGTAACAAAATGGATGAAATCTGGAAAACATCATATTTGGGGCCAGCACTGTACCACAGCAGGTAAAGCGACTGCCTGCAGTGCCAGCATCACATGTGGGCGTTGCTTTGAGTCCCGGCTGCTCCACTTCCCATCCAGCTCTCTGCTATGGCCTGGGAAAGCAGAAGATGGCCCAAGTCCTTGGGTCCCTGCACCTGAGTGAGAGACCCAGAAGAAGCTCCTGGCTTCAGATCGGCACAGCTCCAGCCATTGTGGCCATATGGGGAGTGAACCAGTGTATGGGAAGACCTCTCTGTCTCTCTCTCTCCGCCTCTCCTCTCTGTGTAACTCGTTCAAAGTAAATAAATCTTAAACAAACAAACAAACAACAACAACAACAAAACAAAAAACCATACTTAGTGAAATAAGCCAGTCCCAAAGTGATCAAATACAATATTTTCTCCCTGTCCTGTGAGAACTAATAGAGCACCTAAAAGGCAATCTGTAGAAGTAAACTGACACTTTGAAGCAATGATTGAACAGCCCTTGGTGTTGACTATTTAGGAAGTCACCACCCCATGCCGTTTCATTTGTTGAACTCTTTACTTAACATAGAAGTAAACATAGTCAATGGAAAATAGATC